CCTCAGTCTGCCGACATCGAAATTTCATTGAGTCCCAAATAATGGGGAATAAAAATGGGGCCTGCCTTGAATGATTTTTTGCTTCAGAAATTATGAAGCAGAGGCAACAGAACGGGAAATAATGATCTAGACCAGTGATTTATGATTTATTTAATGATTTATCACTTGGGTTAATTAGACGATGAGTTGAATCAGGTGTGTTTGAATAGGGAGACAAAGAAAATGAGGAGTCTTGGTTGTCATTCAGGAGGTTGAAGAACACTGATCTAGACAATGCGTATTATCTTTGCTTTATGTGAATATTTGCCAAGCGCTGACATTTTACAATAGAAGTACACAAATAATCATGTATTAAAGGAATAGTTCTCCCAAAAATTAAAACTCACCCTGTTCACTGACCCATATTTATGTGAATAAAAGCCTAAATTTAATATGTTAATCATATAAAGCAATCGTGTCTTTTCAGAAAATGTAGAATAAGCCACTTAGTTCATTTGTGGCACTGTCACATAAGAAACTATTTATACCGCTCAATACTGTATGATGATGGTTTTATAAATATTTGGTCTTAATGGGTTTACATGTTGTCTTAGCCATTTGTATTCTTCTTCACCATTTAATTTGTGTAGGTCTTAAATGTGTATAGGTCTGCCTGCCATGGGCAATCACATGACAGGAATCAGGAGTAGAACAAAGGGGGCAGCATGGGCAACCCACTGGGCATTATCAAATGCGCTTGGTGATCACCGAACCTAGACTGTGTGGAGTTTTATTCGTATCACGTTTTCAGTTACAAGCATTTTGACTCACTATCACTTGGATTTTATTAAACACTGTTGGACACTTGCATAAGTCATTCAGACTGTTTTAGGGTATGGTGTTATGGACTCTGCTTTTAATGGCCCGAGGTTTACTGGTTTCACTGTGTTTTAAGTCTCTTGTGAACATTGTAAATGCATAATTTCTTTTCACTTTTATACGCCGTCTGCCAGTGTATAATAGATTCCCTTTCAAGGGAACCTCGAGCTGCGTTAGACACGGTGGAAACGCTCTGCGTGATTATGTTTGAAGCACATGTAAAATCAGTCCAATGGAAACCCGAAAAGTCAAGGCGGGGTGACGTCATAGACCAGGAAA